ATACGTACGCAGAAACGATGGCGGTAAGAAGTTTTGGTCATACGATTCAGTAAAAACTTCTAACAAATAACTGCAACCTCATGCTTAAACGTCTTATAGAAAAGTAGGGTCAACCCATCTGGGCCTGGCAATTTACCATGTTTCAAATCTTCTATTGCAATTGTTATCTCCGCAAGCTTATTGGCTTCTTCTAGAAAACCTTTTAAATTACATTATATTGTCATCAGTAAAGTCAAGAACTCGCTTTGAAACACTGTTTTCGTTTTTTTGAGGCATGATGACTGGAATGTTCCGTGTACCGTTGGACGAAAGCCTTTTCTATAAAAGTTTTTTCGACAGACAGAACGCCATGGTGTTCGATTTCCACTATTTTAATGCCGCGCGCGTATTTCTTTTACCGCGGCAACCATCCTTTTTGTGGGCACTTCTCCAACCAAGAATCTTTCGAAACTGGCTCGTAGCGCGGTCCACCCTATATCTTTCCCCATCTATGATCCCGAGTTGGGCTTTTAGGTTAATAATGTTATTCATAAAAAGGCCTGGAGTTCGGCATTCTTTCCGTAATAGCTTCTTCAGGATATCACGCAACATATCTTCGTTTATTTTTTTCTTGTAACTTCAAGGAACACGCCTTCTCAGATGCGTTGATTTTTACTTCCAGCTTGAAGGTCTCCCACTTCTCGATGACGCACCCTCCCTTCAGCTCTGCTTCCTGCCGTTTCTCCTTGACTAGGTTCTGAAAAGACTCATCTCGAATCAGCTTCGCGTTAAGTTTGCACTGTTTTCACGAAAAAGGTGCCCGTTTTCCTTGGCACCTAATTGAGAATTGACGATGGAGTGATCGCTAAAGGAAACGTAATCGACCGAGTTACGACCACGCAGGGGAACCGGATCCGAGGAAATGTATATTCAGTCCAACCTGGCGTGACTGGTGCCTTGCGAGTGGGTGTACATAAGACCCTTTGCACGAGTCACGCAGCACGCAATATCGTGCAACTCACAGTGCCCAATAAGGCTATTTAAAGCCATAACACTGCCGTCTCTGTAGGGCCCTCCATTGGAGCGGCAGTCCCTTTTCCAAACACAATTAGTGTCCTAGAAATATAATAAGTCGATCGCCACTGACAAAACCCATAAATATTTTCAAAAAACATGTCTTAACAGTGTGGACGACAGCAGCAACAGCTTTCTTAAGGAACAAGCAGCAACCTGCCGACAAACCAACAGCGTGACTCACGCAGACTTCATAGCGCGACAGAAACGACCGTAATATACTGTCGGTTTGACCCTCACTCTCTACTTTGGTCTCTTGAATGGCCACGATATTTAACTCATGCTTGGTAAATAGTCGGTAGAGCTGCTGTTGCCCACGGCTAGCTGCGAGTCCCCGCACGTTCAGCGTAGCGACACGTAATAAACCTTCACGAGACACTACCATTGAGCAAGTTACAAACCTTGAGCATAGCGCTCACCTATGTGACTGAAAGGCAGCGGCCGCAGCACCAGATAGTCACTGCTCGTCGTCTCGGGATAGAGCCGACGAGCCGCCACGGGGTACAGCCGACGACCCGCCGCGGCCACCTCTTCAGTATCCCCTCTTGCTCGCGGCCTCTTGTAGCCCCGACTCAGAACAAGGGCCAGCCGTGTCGGTCGTCACTGTCGCCTCGTTGAACGGTCGCTTGGCAGCCTTGGCCTCGGTCCATTTCACCCGCGTCTTCACCCTCGGAGGCCTTTGCCATGTCGCTCGCGGCCGGTGCCTCCTGCGCCGTCACCGTCACTTTGTTCGCAGGTTCGCCGCTGAGTCCATTTCCCAGTGCTGTAGGAGTGGTGAACGCCTGATTTTGCGCGACACACGGCTCCGTGCTGGCCCCCGCCTCCGTCATCTGAAGCTCTGTTGGTCACAGAGCTATCGTCGTGGGTGACGCTGACTCCTCCGCCTCGGCCTCGTTCATGTCGTGGCTCATGCCCGTGTCGTCAGCGTATGGCTGGCGACGCCTCGGGCGTACGACCGCACGCAGTCCCTTGCGTCGTGCCCGGAGGCTCGATATTCTTCGCACCTAGGAACCCTACACTCACGCCGTATGTGTCCCGAGCGATGACAGCAAAGGCACACCGGCGCGCGCCCGGCATCGACCACAAGTTCTGTGCCTCGTCGGAATCCGATCTGGTGAGGGAGGGATTCCTGCGTCATGCCATCCCGAAGCACCAGGCGCACGACGACTGTCGTGGTGTCCACGTCTGACCGGCCCTCGGCCTTCCACTTTTCGTGGTTGACTCCCTTAACTTCTCCGTAGGATTCGAAGGTTCGACGGATAGTTTCCGCGGGCACGTCAAACGCCACCCAGTGAACTTTGACTTTTAATTCCTGCTTATTGGGGTCGATGGCCAGACACAAGCGGTCCTTCACTTGCAGGTGCCTTGTCGCCAGGAGCTTCTTCTTGGTCGCAATAGTATGCAGCGTTAAGAGCCAGACGTGTCCCATTTCAAAGGCGCCCAGGCCCTCCACTTCTTCCCGGACACCCACTTGGTTAACCGGCTGAACAAAATCTTCTACTCAGTACCAACGTCCCAAGTTGCGGTTCATAGCTTCGCCGAAGGGAATCGAGGGGAAAATAACCACGTAGTCATTCGGCAAACCGCCGTAGCCAGCATCACCACGGCTAGAAAGAGTCGTTATCGTAGTCGCTGAAGAGCTCTCCATCGCACGTCCGTTTGCTATCGCGTCCGGCGATGGAATCCCCTAAGCTACTGTAGGTTGAACCGTTTTCTCCCAATTTTCCCCCAGCAAAAGTACTCCCGAGTCGAAGCCGGGCTGCACCATGCATTGGCCACATTCGCACCTACTAAAGAAATAGTTCGCACGCATATTCAACTCGCAGTACGCACTTCGTGCTTGACGTTTGCGCGAGCGATGTCTTCAGCCACGAGAAGGGGGTGACGGCTCGGCGACGTCTTCGTGCAAATCGGCTTGGAGGTAGGGCGTGTCGTACAGGATGAATACCAATTTGTTCAATCCGTCGTAAATTTCTCTTTTAAAGGCAGACAGAATTCGCCAGTACCGCGAACGATATTTCTGAAGTAGAGGTCTCACGCCCGTCGTCTGCTGCCATCGCCGTCCCCGCGAGTCCCACGATACGCAAAACAACGCCATGTTCAGAATTACTTAGTGAACGCACAGAATGTTCCCGGTTTTCTGTGCCGCTTTTTTTTTCAATCAAACTAATTGCAGCTTTTTAGAATCCACAAAAAAATTGGTTTTCTATTTTTGTTTTCTATTTTCACTATTTACTATGTCCCTTGAATGACCAGCGAGTTTGACTAAATTTTGTGGTTGTGTCCAAACTTTGGAAAACGGCCCATGACCACGAAAAAGAGATTGAGCGCGACACAAACCGGCCAGTTCTTGATCGTCGGCTTTCGGGCCGAAAGAAAACGAATTTCGAGCCGCAAATTCTGTTCTGGGGAGGTGGGCTTTCATACGTCACGGACAACTAGAAACCTCGGCGAGCATAAATACCCGGTCAGTGTCCCTTTAAGGTGTGCTTACGTCTCTACCTTTACTTGTACTGCAATCATTCTGCTTTACAGTTCACGCTTTATAATCTTTTGTGGGATAATAAAATAAAGGTTATTCTTAAGAATCAATGCACCACGTCAAAGTGCCATTGCATCTAATCTAAGTAACCAAAATCACTCACGCAGTTCATGAATTTATTAAATTGTGAAAGGCGCAGATATTGCAGTGTCGCTCCGTTGCAAATCTCATCTCCTTGTGTCCTGTTAAGCTGCAGTGCGTTAAAAGGGAAATATTTGTTTCCCTTTAGCTCTCAGGAACAAGTTTTTTTTTGTTTGTTTTTTGCGGAGTTTTGTGCTTCACCGTATCGTTTATTAGGGAGTTTTCGTAGATCGTTTTCGGCGTCCCGCAAGGCCCTCCGCAACCCGCTACAATAGCGGGAACTCCACAGTCGAGGCTATCGGCGCGCAGGCGCAGTAGCAACTTCTTCGTTGCGGAACGCTTAGCGGAGGGGGCAGCGCGGTCTACGAAAACTCCCTACTGTTCCTTCCGTTTCCGCTTTCATTAACGTCTCATTCGTTCCAAAACTATTTCTGTAATGACACATCTCTTTCTTACAGCGCGTGCACAAATTAATTGTCATTGGTTTAGGGGTTCTGTTGGCTTTAATATGCGACCATGTTACCCCAGCCATCTAATTTCGTTAAACGCAGTAATAGAAGACCTATCGTATATTCCAGACTGCATTTGGATTAAATAAATTACACCACCCTACACTTTTGACATTCAGGAGCGCCGTGCATATACATTTTTGTTGTTTAAGAACCGACAAGTTACATGTTAAGGACCATAGAGGACTAAAGTACCCAAATGTTAAAATAACAATTAACCGCGGTGGCCACAAAAAAAAAAAAAACATTTTAAGGGGTGAAACGATATTCGAATGTATCAATATATGTAAAACCAAATTGAATTTAACAAGCAAACGAACTTGATCCGGCTCAATAATTGAGTATTGAACAGGCAGGTCTAAAATTAAGCTTTGATTGCTTTGCTTGAAGGAATATTTTAAGACACGATATAATCTGGCCGTGAAAGAGACCTTATATCTTGATTTGCATTATTTAATTTGAAAAAAAAAAAGTTTGGTTGCTGGCATAAACGTTGCGTACCTCCTACGCTTGTGAAGTAGCATTTGCTTTGAAGATTCCGTTTGCTAAGTGACCATTTGCGCGCGCTTTCCTCGATCTAAAAAGTGTTAAAACTGTTATTTTTAGACAACCTAATCCAGCACAATAAAGCCTGTATACGTTCGAGATAAACGCATTAGGAGATCATTTAGACTGGGGAAAGAAACTGGTCATCATACTCAGTGCTTCGAATAAATGTATCTATACGTGTAAATTCTAGTTACTTTACGTGTGAAATGGAATTATTATGTCTACTATAATGCAAGGTTAAATTAATCGTCACCTTTCTGGTTTAGGTCAACATTCGATATGCTTCTATGACCAGACCGAATTTGAAAGTCAAATTATGTTCTGTGCAAATTATGTCGGTAAGTATAAGAACACCTTTCTCTATCAAACTGCACGTGTCACAAATAATTAGCTCATTCTATGTATTAAAGTTACCGAAAATAGCGATACCTAATGTAGCGTTTGTCACCTTTACAATTATCAGAAAAAGTGTAAAGTATGCAGAGCCACAGCTAAACAATGGGAGCGTGCCAGCACTCCAATGCAGAAACCAGCGTACGCGCCGACTCGCACGAGTGGGCGCGAAGATTGTCTGCTTAAAAAGAGCGTGTTGTCATTATGAGTAATTTAAATAGAAAAAGATTAAAACACTAAGCACGTGCACGAACACAATCATACTCATTCATTCGGCAACGACCGAATGTTTATTTCCTGGCACAAAAGTTCCGCGCTTTGACCAGGATACAGTTCAAAAACGGGGGACGGCCGAACGGAAGGGATCATATTCGGTAGGACAGGTAAAAGAATTATCTGCCCTCCCGATTATAACTCCTTCCTTTCTACCCTTGCCCGTGTTATCTAGATCCTGGTCAACGTGCGGATGTTTTGTGCCCTGAAATAAACGTCCGTTTTCACTAACTGAAAGGTGCGGTTGTTCATAAACTATCGTTTTTGCTTTGAGTATTTCTATTTAAAGTAAAATATCGCCTCTTGCCTAAGCTTTGGACGGACGCCAATTCGTTCTCTTGTACATCGAACACCATACCGAAAAATTGGTGACACGGGCGTTCAATCATCATGAGCCAGAGTAACGCAGGCAACATCTTCCAACGACGACGGTACCTTGTCCGCCATCCAGCTCTACTTTCCGTACTCCTTGGCGAAAAGTGCTGGGGCCGGGTTCTTCCAACTGGAAGCCGAATTTCCCTTACGGTGAATCACAACCCATGTCTCCTGTTGCTATCTTGTTGTCTCCGTCCTTTCCTCGGAAGTGGCTAATAAACCGGACGACGTCCAGGTTATTTCTCCTCCTGACGACTTCTACGACTACATAAAGTGAAAAACGCTCGCCAGAAAGACAGTCAGAAGCATCTTGGGTGCCAAACCACCATGCACACCAAGAAGCTGGGCGACCGTGAATCATCTCAAATGCTTCATGCGAATTGTTCCCCCGGCGCTTGCCCCAAGTGATATGCATGGCCCTTGCCCCAGCAACGGACCTGCTCATAGATCGCCTTCCTGAGGTGGTGGACCGCGTCATTGCGTATGCTACGCCAAGCCTGTCAAGCGTCACTGATAACTCCCATCAGTGTCCCACTATGCGAGCCCTAGGAACCGACATAGATGCCCTGAAAACTGCCATCTAGGCAGTCAACACAACGGGTAGCAGCTCGCGGCGTCGACCAAAAAATATTTTCATCTTGATATGGAAACCCATGTCGCCATCGCAGTCTATCTCGAGGTCGCAGCCCACCGTGACAACGAGCGTTTCCTGTTGGTGCTACCAGGCATTCGGCAACAACGCACGCAACTACCAACAGCCGTGCGACTGGCAGAAAAGAGATGCGGCCCGTCACTATAGGTGGCCAGTGACGTGGGATCAAAAGCAAGCCGCCTCTTTTTTATTCGTAGCTTTCACAACCTATAGGGGGCGCACTGGTGCCTATCGAAATGGCCGCCATCTGCATGATCGTCATAGAACAACAGTACGAGGCGGGGTCTGCGACGCGTAAGTAATTCTAGTTTTGCTGTATACGTGCAGTGTTAGAGCCCTACTTTATTTTTTTCACGTCAGGAAGGCGGAGGCAGGCACCTTTATTCTGAAGCCTTTCATCCAGAAGCTAGGGAGCGCGATTCTCGCACCGCGGTACCACCGTCGCTGAAAGTTGCGAATAACGGATCGCGTTTCCCGTCAACGCCTACTCGTCCACACAGGAGCGGAAACGTCCGTTATTCCACCTACACCAGCTGAAAGACGACGCCCACAGACGTTTGTGTCGCTGCAGGTGTGCCAAATATTCCAACATGGGGGACGTTCTCACACATAGGATTACGCAGGACATTTCGGTGGGTCTTCGTCACTGCTGACGCAAGCCAGCCCCGCCCGGCTCAGGCTTCCTATAGTAAAGTGGTTAGTTGGGCAAGTTGGTAATGATTGAACATGGTTAAAATCGTGCACAAATAGAAATGCAGAGTTAAGAGGGAAGAGGGAAGAGACAAGTGCAAACTCGCAACTGGATGTATTAAAGGAAGAAAAAGAACAGCCCGGCGGCATCAGCTCGAGCCGAGGCCACACTCGCACGGGGGCACCCGAGCACGCGGAGGACACACACCATCCTCAACCACACTCAAACGATTGTAGAAAGCCGATTTGCTTGTCGGTTAACGCCACAGTAGGATGGCTGACACACCTCCTAAGGAAGGAGTGTTGCGATTCCTAGACCTTTCCCTATCTTTGCAAACAAACCACCTGTGCTGGTCATTTTCCCCCGTTCTAAAAAGGTTTAAGCTCCTAAGGAAGGTGTGTTGCAATTTCTAGACCTTTCCCTATCTTTGCAAACAAACTACCTGCGCTGGTCATTTTCACCCCGTTCTAAAAAAGGCTTACTACACTATACGTTCTCGCACTCTAAATTCGTTAAAAGCGGCATAGCTCTTTCCTGCCTTACTTCAGCTTTAAAGAGGTCATGCCTCCGCACCATCAAAAGCATGCAGTTTAAATTCTGAAATTGAGAGGCTTACAGCGTCCGGGTTTCCAACGCAGGTGCTAACAGAGGTGGTAGGGACTCTGATAAAAAAGCAAAAGGATGCGAAAAAGCTGCATGTAATGTCGACAAAATGGAGTAGTGGTCGTTTCTTATATACAGAAAATTTCTCACAATCTGAAACAGGTAGCCAATAGGTAAGGAGTCCCCTTAGTGATGTCAGCCCCACCAAAAATGGGTCAAATGTGTTCTTAGCTTCGAGCAAAAGTAGAAAATATTACAAAACACAGGTGCCGCAAAAAACACGTCCGCCCTCACGTGCCCTGTTCAACCACACTGGTCTATAGCATTCCCCTTTCCTGTGGTAGATCCTACGTAGGAGAGACAGGACGGTGTATTAATGACCGGTTAAGGGAGCACAATCTTTCTCTAAATTCCACAGTGTGGGTCACCTACCTCTGCATTGTCAAGTGTACACCTTCTTTACAAAAAACCTTGATAATTAGCAGATTCCACGAAAAACACACTAGGGAAATTTTTAAAGCTTTTGGTATACTCCGCCTAAGCGAGCGTTGTGTCAGCCATTTTCTGTGGTTTTAACCGACAAGGAAATCGCCTTTCTACAATCGTTTGAGTATGGCTGATGATGGTGTGAGTCCTCCGCGTTCTCGGGTGCCCCCGTGCGAGTGTGGCCTCGGCTCGAGCTGATGCCGCGGGCTGTTCTTTGTTCTTCCTTCAATACATCGAGTTGTGAGTTTGCGCTTGTCTCTTCCCTCTTCCCTCTTCAGTGTTCCTTTCTATTTGTGCGCAATTTAACCATGTTCAGGCTTCCTATCCCGTTTTTATTTGAACGTCAGCATGCACCACCGACGTCTTATTGATAACAGGACTCATCTCACTGTCAACGACATCTGTACATCCTTGATTTCTCCTTGCATTCAGAATAATGTACCTACCTAAGAATTTGCGGACATTCCAGCATGAGATCCAGAAATTACGAAGACATCCAGTTTGGCAGAGAAACTGCGAAACGGTGTGACTCACCACCCATCATTACTTCCGGCCCATTCACTTTTGCGCGCCCTGGTTGTTTATATGGTGAGCGACACAAGGTCGCACGGCAAGAGTCAAATGCAGCAAAGTCGACCTGGAGAAGGCATATTACCATATTACAATCGAGCCAACGGGTATCGCCAAAACAGCCATCACTATTGCGTTCAGCCTGTTCGAGTATATCTAAATACGTTTTGAATTACGAAACTGTGCAAAGATTCGTTCACGAAGCCCTTCATGAGCTACCTTTAACCTCTGCCTACATGGATGACCTCTCCATTGTGAGAAGCTCACCAAAAGATCCCGCCAAACATCTGCGGCTGCTCTTCGAACGACTCCACGAGTACGGGCTTACCATCAATGTGGCGAAATGTACCTTTGGTGCTGCAGCCTTGGAATACCTCGGGCATTGCATCAGGTTCGCTTGTATTCAGCCTCTTCAATCGATGATTTAAGTCCTTCCAAACTTCCCACGACCAACGACGGAAGCTGCGGGATTTTCTCCGTATCATGGACTTTCATTAGTACGACCTTCCACATTGCGCAAAAATCATAAACCTCTCGCAGACTTGCTCCGCGCTCCGAAGAAACCTTCGACAAAGTACAGTGTACTGCCAGCGTGGTGGATGACCTCACTTTAGTAAAACATGCCATCGCTGACACCACACTCTTTGCGCCCCCGCTGCCAAACGTCTGAACGCGCGACATGGTCAACACGTCTGATGTTGCCGTCGGGGCCGTACTACAGCATTACAGAGAAAATGATTGACCTTTTCTTGGATTATTTTCTCTTCAACTTAATCCAGCGGAGACCCTGTTCAGCACGTTGGACGTGAATTGTTATCATTTCACGCGACCGTTCACCATTTCTGATTTCTTCCTCAAAGGCCGAACCTTGGCCTTGCTCACCAATGACAAACCATTGATCTCCTTATACATTCGTCGCGAATCACAGTTCCTACCCCGCCAGATAAACTGGCCACCTCATCTTCATCTCGATATATAGGCACACCTACGCAATGCCGCCGGAGCAAAAAACTTGCCAGGAAACACTCTTTCTCGCATTGACGTTGTCTCCGAGTCTCCGGCATTCAATTTTTTGAACTTGGCGCTAGCTCAATGGGAAGACTCCGAATTGCAGAATTTAGGGTTTCCTCAACATCCCCGCAGCTACAACCCATTGCACAGTCACTTGTCAACAGCGAGGTCATCTAGGGCATGCGAACTGGCACACCTCCGACCATATATACCTCAACAATTCCGACAACCAATATTTTATGTCATCTATGATCCTGAGTATCCCGCCATTCGCGCAACTCAGC